TTTGGACGTGCTCAACATACTCTTCCTCTCAGTACCAACCGTCACATGATCCAGTGCCATCCAACTGAAATTACAACAAATCAAGAACTTTAATCAAAATCATCATGAAAAATGGCTACAAACCATAACAAAATATGACAAAAAAATAACTCACTTCACGATCCAGACACGTGTAGAAGACGCGCCCTTGGTTGTGACCCTTCTTCTTCACCCTGTACTCCCTCACAGTCTTCTGCCCACACTTACCGCACGCAATGAGAGGGAGGTCCGGCCTCAGTCGCTTAGGGACCCCATGCGAGGCCGAGGACCCAGAAGCAGTCGCCATCTACGACTCTCTATACTCATTTTCATCAACTACTATAAATTTCTCATTTTGTGAACCATAAAATTAAATGAGCTATATACTAAAAAACCCTTATATTTCTCTATTTCTAAACCATGAAATGAGGCAAGGTGCATACTAGTTTTGATGAGCTACTATAAGATTTCTTCATCTACATATGCAAACTATCAAGTGATTTTGAGCTCAAATGACATATAAATAAAAAATATCCACCATTATTCCCTATCTAGAAAACCAAAAATTCCTCTATTTCTAGACCATGAAATGAGGCAATGAAAGGTGCGTACTAGTTTTGATGAACTACTATAACCTTTCTTCATCTTCATATTCAAACTATCAAGTGATTTCGAGCTCAAATGGTATATAAATAAAAAAAATCCACCATCATTCCCAATCTAAAAAACCACAAATTTCTCTATTTCTAGACCACGAAATGAGCCATGCTAGTGATGAAACATGGGGGGATGAAGTTGGTAACCTTTAGAACCGAAGAATGGATGGAAGAATGAAGTCTTCACCAATCCCGCAAGCATGAACTCCTTCCACGAGCAAGAACAGAGAGCAGGCAGAGAGCTTGAAATGGCTCGGGCTGGGGGAGGAAGAAGGAGAAAGTATATAGCCCGGGACATGTAGTCCCGGTTTTTGGTATAAACCCGGACTACAGGTAGAATTTTAGTCCCGATTGAAGCTAACAACCGAAATTAAAGGTTTAGTCATGGCTAGTAGCTCCAACCAGGACTGGAGGGTGACCTTTAGTCCCGGTTTGAGTCACCAACCAGGACTAAAGGTCCCCTCCTGCTCCTCTCCTGCAAAAGCTACGCCTCTAACCGTTGAACAGGAGACTTTAGTCTCCGTTGGTAGCTCCAACCATAACTAATTTTTCTTTAGTTTCGGACATAAAAAATAACCAGACGACCGAAAGTCTGCTCCTAGAGGTCACGCAGGGGCACGGTGCGTGCGTGCGAGCGAGCATGAGCTGGGACCAACTGCGAAAAGCTCGCGGTGCCGGCGATCCATCACCGTGCAGTGCAAAGGCTGCATGTGCTGCTACAGTGCTACCACTGAGTCGATCTGAGCTTGCACTCGATCGACACTGGTCCTGCCCGGCCGGCCATTTGTACAGTGCAGTACTCTACGATGGAATCGATCCACGAGCATAGTTCCTCGACCGCCATGCCCATGCATGACGACCACGAGATGCAATAGCGGCCACTTATTAATTTGCGGTCTTCGACCTTCGGTCCTTCCTACGTGCTCTACTGTGCCGTGCAGTCTGCAGATAAAGACAAGCGCTAGATTGCAGCCGTTCCTGATGTCACGCATGGGCACGGCGCGAGGCGAGGTGCAGCCGTGCAGGACCAGCTGCATGCGAAAAGCTCGCGGTGCCGGTGATCCATGCAGTGCATGGCTGCAGCAGACTGCAAAAGGCTAGTGCGTGCATGGCTGCTGCAGCAGCTAGAGCCTAGAGCTAGGTAGCATCGTCCGCGGGCCCCCCTGGGCCTAGGGATACAGTGCAGTCCAGTGCCGGAGTGAGTGGAGCCGTGGTGGTCACCGGGCCGGAGTGACAGTGTCCGTCCGTGTGTGATCGAGCAGCGAGCACCAAGCACAGAGAGGAAGAGAGGCGAGAAAGGCTGCCACTCCCCAGGTGGAGGTGGAGGACTAGCATCTACTAGCATGCATGTCTTTGGGCCGGAACATGTCACACACACACACACACACACCAGCCCAGCCCAAATATCATGTCACACCCCTTGCAGGCACACGTCTTGCCTCAGCTTTTGGTTTCCATCCGAGCGCACTGAACACTCGTGTGTAAGTTATGATTGCAAGAAACGGGCCTGCAGAATGCTTCAAGGAAAGGCACCGCACAATCTCAACATGCTCCACTCTCCTCTTCAACTACAGATTTTAATTAAGCAGAGAAAGATCAAATCTGCAGAACAAGGTTGGCCGAGTGGCCTGACGAGCAAGCACTTCTCCCTGCATTCGTTAAAGCCACAAGACAACACAAGCCAGCAGTTTCCGGCCTCGTATACATCACGCGGGGACGACAGTATAGGCGGTTATTGTTCGATCTTCCTCTGGCTTGTGGTACTTGGTTTCCTCAAGCAAGATAAGTAAATACGTACCTCCAGAAACAACTCTGCATTTATAGCGCAGGACAGAGTTTGCCCGTTGACCAAACCGAACCAAGAGATGTCGTCCATTCTTTCTCTTTCGTGCGGTTGACATTGGCATTCATGGCTGACTACTTCTACACCGGGTTCTGCTAGCTAGTGGGCTTCATACAGTGGGCTTCATACAAAATTCTGACTGTAACTGTCAGAATGTGGTCACAAATGGATTTTCTACAAGAGAAACATACATGAACAGATGAACAGACCTACAGGCCAGACCAAGATGGAAGCCAAGCGGCTGTTGTTGAGACCATATCCAGTTTTTGTTTCCAAGATACTGAGGTGCAAGAAACGACTCTGCAGAATACTTAGAGAAAAGGCATGGCGCAATCTCAACATGTGCACTTTCCTCTAAAAAGTTAAGCAAAGATAAAACCTGCAGAACATGGCTGAGCAGTCTCTGACAAAGCCCAGCTCTACACAGATGCAAGAACTGATCTTGGCTGCTGCAAAGGACGACATATCGGTGCTGATAGTGTGGGCAAGTGGTGATATCTCTTCCTCTGTCCTCATGAAACTTGGTTTCCTGAAACAAGATAAGTAAAACATTCAGAAACAGCTCTGCACTTACAGCACAGGACAGAGTTTGTCCACTGACCAAACCAAACCAAGAGATGTCCATCTTTTCGCGCGGTTGACGTAAGCATTCATGGTTGACTACTTCTACACCCATTTCACCATTTTTTGTTTTCAAGTGGGCTTCATACAAAATTCTGATTGTAGCTATCAAAATGGATTTTCTACAAGAGAAACATACTCCGCATGAACAGACCTACAGGCCAGCCCAAGATGGAAGCCAAGCGTTCATTGTTTGAGACCATGGCTGTTTTTGTTTCCAACACACAGATCCTGAAACCTGAGGTGCAAGGAATGACCTGCCGAATACGTCAAATTAAGTCATGACAGAATATCAACATGTGCACACTCCTCAAGCAAAGAAGATCAAATCTGCAGAACCTTGCTGAGTAGTCTGATGAAGCCCAGCTCTAGACAGAACTGGTCTTTCCTGCTGCAAAGCGTACTACTCCTTTGACTAATATGGACATCTCCTGCAGTGGTTACAGCCAGAAGACGACACAACCAGTAGTTTCCATCCGTCAGACACATCGGCAATGATTGCGTAGCTGCAAACAGAAAGTCCAAGACAAATCCTGAAGTCCACTTCTTACAAGGGAAGTTTGGATGACCACAAAGAGGTTGCCATAAAGAAGTCCAAGGCAATAAATGATGATTGCAGGGAAGAATTTGTCAATGAGATAATAATTTTATCTCAAATCAACCACCGGAACATAGTGAGGTTACTAGGATGTTGCTTGGATGCAGATGTCCCAATGTTGGTGTACGAGTTTGTCTCCAATGGAACTTTATCTGAGTTCCTTCATGATGCTGATAATAGACCACCAATTCCCTTGGATCTTTGCCTGAAAATCGCTACACAATCAGCAGAAGCTCTTGTTTACTTACATTCATCAATATCTTGCACAATCCTACATGGAGATGTCAAATCTGCCAATATCCTGTTGGATGATCAGCACAATGCAAAGATCGCAGATTTTGAAGCATCTGCACAGAAGTCCATGGTAGAAAGTGAGTTCATCATGCTTGTACAAGGAACACTGGCTATCTTAACCCTGAGAGCTTTCAGTCATCAACTGACTGAGAAAAGTGATGTCTACAGTTTTGGAGTAGTTCTTCTGGAGCTGATCACAAGAAAAAGGGCTATTTTTGCTGATGAGTTCAATGGAAAAAAGTCATTATCTTATATTTTCCTCTTGATGTTCCGCCACAATAAGCACCAAGTTATGCTTGATTTTGAAATTATAGATGAGGCGGCTATGGAAGTGCTTGAGAAACTGGCCCATCCAGTAGTCCACTGCCTATGCCCAAGTGGAGATGACAGGCCAACAACGAAGGAAGTTGCGGAGCGCCTATGATTGAAGATGAAGACTGTTATTCTGCACACAGCCATGGAGGATGACACACAGCAGCATGGAGATGTCTACACTGATCTTGGCATAGATCTTGCAACATGATACTTCTACATTTCGTTTTGTTAGAAGAAAATACTTCTACACTGGGAACTTGTGTATGATACATGGTTTTATGTAAATAGCACATTTATTAAGCTGTTCCACAACACGCTATGTAGGCTCCATAAAAAATTCTGATTGCAGCTATATTTTACGTTTTCTTTCTGTAAAAGTCTTTGTACATGTTAACTTACTCTGAGATAATAACGCCTATAGTCATTAGCTTACGCACTACCAAGACTATCTCGTACACAGCCTTATCCAGGCAATCTTATATATCACAATTTGCATTAACTTATTTGTGATAGAAAGTCCAAGACAAATCCACTTCCTATTGTTTTAAGCCAGACCAGTATGCTGTTTGTATACATATATATGTAACACAAGAGCAGATGGCATTAGACTAGGTGCCTCTAGCTAAAATAGATTGCGAAAGCAAGTGATCTCGCTATGCGAGAAACGATGGTCCCTGTACTCCTCATGCTATGCATCTTCTTTCCAGCAATGGTCATGCCGGATGGAGCCTCTTCTAGACCCTCTGTGTCATTACCAGGTTGTCCTGACAAGTGCGGTGACATTTCCATCCCCTACCCCTTTGGCATTGGCGAGCAATGTGCCGCGACCAGCTTAAACAGCTACTTTATCGTCACCTGCAATGACACCTTCAATCCACCACGGCCAACAGTCGGGGACCATAGCGCAGTGGTCGAGGTCACTGATATCTTACTGGAGCGTGGAGAGATGCGTGTGCTCGGCCCCATCAACCACATCTGCTTCACGTCAAACACCACATCTACCCAGCTGGGCGGTGGGTATGATGTGCATCGCACGCCCTTCCTCCCATCCCCATCGCGCAACCACTTCATGGTCATTGGCTGCAACACCCTTGGGCTCATCGGTGGGAACAAAGACGCCAAGAGCCAGTACCTTGCTGGGTGCTACTCCTACTGTGAGGGCATCAACAGCACGTCCGACGGTGCCCCCTGCGCGGGGATGGGCTGCTGTGAGGCTACTATCCCTGCAAATCTCAATTCCTTTGAGGTGGCATTCGGGATGAACCAAAGCAAGGTTTGGAGCTTCAACCCATGCTTCTACGCCATGATTGCTGAGACTGGGTGGTACAGTTTCAGGCAGCAAGACCTCATTGGCCATCTTGGATTCATCGACGCTAGAGCCAAGAGGGGCGCCCCAGTCATCGCTGACTGGGCCATCAGGAACAGCTCGTGCCCAGAGGAGGGAAAAGAGCCACCTAGTGGTTACGCCTGCATCAGTGCAAACAGCTACTGCATGAATGCAAATAATGGCCCAGGCCATCTATGTCAATGCTCCAAAGGATATGAGGGCAATCCTTACATTCTGAATGGCTGCCAAGGTATGTTTTTATTCAAAAGTAATCTTGGTCTGTAGTTTCTAGGATAATACTCTAGAAACCTGATCGACTTCTCAATGCTACTCGTTTACTGCCATTGAGGTTGCAATGTCTTAATACACTTGCACTAAAATCTTATGAGCATCATAAATGAGTACAATAATAAATTTTCACCATGTTTCAGCTACTGTTATTGCTAAAAGAACACAAAATGTTGTTGGCATGCATGACACGTGTCATCAATTTCATTTTGGTTTTTATTTCTGAACTGGTAAAAGAAACAGTCAGCTCTAGCGTAGGTTGCTCACTCATGTTTTAATGTTTAATTATGGGAGCAGTTATGGAAAGGAAATTTCCAGCATTATAAAGTCTGCTGACTTTATCACTTCTTGAGATTCTTACCCTCCATCCATGTGTTAGTTTAACTTATCCAATTGTTTATGTTTTTATTTACATCTTCAGATATAGATGAGTGCATGCTGCGTACACAAGATTCCAAGTATGAGGAATTGTATCCCTGCAGAAAAGGGGTCTGTCACAATATACAGGGAAGTTACTTTTGCAAATGCAAAATGGGAACAAGAGATGATGGCACAAATTTTGGATGCCGGCCCCTTTATGCTTCAACCAAACTAGTTATTGGTAATTACCATGTGCCTATATTACACTTCTGTTTAATCAACATTAAGGTGTTTAGTGACAAATAAACACTCATAGGTATGAAATTAAAACTCCTTCCATTTCACAATATTTGTCATTCTAACAAATGTCACAAAAAATAAGGAGCATTAAAGATAGAAACTATACCCACATTAAGTATATCACAATCCTTGGTGGGGAGAGGGGGTAATTCGATTTTGTGGATACATTGATGAAGCCATGAAGGGTAGGGGGTTAATGATGCTTTGGAATGTGAAAATGACAAATAATTTGAGAAAAATATTGAATCCTATAACGAAAAATACAGTGAAAGTGACAAATAATTTGAGAAAAAAAATTATTGAATCCTATAATGAAAAATACTGTGAAACACAGAGAGTAAGTATTAACCCATAACAAATGTTTTACAGCTTAATTAAGAATTTTCAGGGTTTAGCACCCGAGGTGCGGAGCTCCCCACCAGTGTTCGATCCCTGGTGCCTGCATGGTTGTGTGCCCACCTCCCTGGTTGAAACAGCGCAGATGGTTCCGCGGCCACGAAAGAAGCGTGCGCGCGTGAGGTTCCTGCATGTTTCCCAGGTTTGGTGAGCCCCTTCTTAAGACTAAAGTCCAGGGGATGTCTCTCCCATTGATCAAGTCTTTTATTAACATTTTTTTTTCTTGAACACGCATGAGAGCTGCCTATCACTATATTAGGAAGAAAAAAGGGGCGCGATGTATTACTCACCTCCTCACCCCAGCACCTCCTGAACGTTAATTGGTCGGTTTTAAAGGGTGTGGTCAGTATATGTGTTTTTGTGGCACACATGTTTTAGGAACCAAAGTGTGTTGGAGACTTGAAGGTGTATGCGGTGTTGTAAGGTTCTTATTAAGAATTTCTATTTTCTATAACAACGAAAAAAGAAACCTTTACAGAATTCCTTTCAATTTCTGTTCCATGCACCTGGGAAGAAGTCAAGCTTAAGATACAGCCTAAGCAAAAAAGAAAAAGAAAAAGAAGACTGCATACTAAATTGGCAATAGATGTTTACTAGAATCTGTTTTCCTTCTTTTAAAAAAATATTTTTGCAGGCCTCAGTCTTTCTGCAGTAGTGTTGATGGCCTTGGCATGCTTGTACACCATGCAATTACAAAGGAAAAGGCACAAGATGGAGAAAGAAGAATATTTCAGACAAAATGGAGGTCTCAAGTTATATGATGAAATGAGGGCAAGGAAGGTTCACACGATTCATATTCTTACAGAGAAGGAGATAAAGAGAGCCACAGACAATTATAATGAAGATCGAGTACTTGGATGTGGAGGTCATGGAATGGTCTATAGGGGAACTTTGGATGACCACAAAGAGGTTGCCATAAAGAAGTCCAAGGTAATAAATGATGATTGCAGGGAAGAATTTGTCAATGAGACAATCATTTTATCTCAAATCAACCACAGAAACATAGTCAGGTTACTAGGCTGTTGCTTGGATGTAGATGTCCCAATGTTGGTGTATGAGTTTGTCTCCAATGGAACTTTATCTGAGTTCCTTCATGGTGCTGATCACAGATCACCAATCCCCTTAGATCTTCGCCTGAAGATTGCTACACAATCAGCAGAAGCTCTTGCTTACTTACATTCATCAATATCTTGCACGATCCTACACGGAGATGTCAAATCTGCCAATATCCTGTTGGATGATCAGCACAATGCAAAGATTGCAGATTTCGGAGCATCAGCACAAAAGTCCATGGACGAAAGTGAGTTCATCATGTTTGTACAAGGAACATTTGGCTATCTTGACCCTGAGAGCTTTATCAGTCATCAACTGACTGAGAAAAGCGATGTCTACAGTTTCGGAGTAGTTCTTCTGGAGCTGATCACAAGGAAAAGGGCTATGTTTGCTGATAGGTTCAATGAAAAAAAATCATTGTCTTATATCTTTCTCTTGATGTTCCGCCATAATAAGCACAAAGCAATGCTGGACTCTGAAATTATTGACGAGGAAGTTATGGCAGTGCTTGAAAAGCTGGCCCAACTAGCAGTGCATTGCTTATGCCCAAGTGGAGATGACAGGCCAACAATGAAGGAAGTTGCAGAGCGCCTACAGATGTTGAGGAGGCTCCACATGGATGCAACCAGTGACTGTGAAGACAGTTACTATGCACACCATGGAGGATCATCATCATTGGCTGCCCCTTTGGATGATATGGCATACAACAGCATAGAGACATCTACACTGTTCTTGGCATAGATCCTGTAACACGATACTTAACGGTGCTTCTAGACTGGATAATTGCATGTGGTACTTGTTGATGTAATAAATAGTACATATTTATTAAGCTGTTGCCACAATATGCTATGTAGGATATGATGCAACATTTACAAAATTCTTCCTTCTGAACTGTTATGTCTGAGATATCATTCCAAGCCTGCAACTGCATATGCTGTTTTATGCATGTATGATATCTACATGTATGCAATTTTTACATGAATATCCAGCTCTAGTTTTATAGAAACATCAAGGGAGGTACATGTGCAGGAAAGAGATTTTTTTGCCCCTTGGGTCAACTCAACTAAAAGTACTAAGTAATAAACATTCGTCAGTTTCTTTATAGTTTGGAAAAGTGTGTCCTTAAATGCCTCTTCCAGACTAAGTGGAACTCCTGCTCTTAAAAACCTTGCCAACTCAACATTTTCAGATGGACAGTCAAAGTGAAGTTGTTTCTTCAGTCTATGTACCGAACTTAGTTCAGTTTGATTTTCCTGATCAAGCCAATTCTATTATTCTATAACATCAGAGCCTGTTAGTCCCTAGCAATTTGGAGTAGGGATTCTGTTCTAAATAGTAAAAGTGCCTTCATATACCACAGAAGGAGCTATTTAACTGGATAGATGGAGCAAAATTTACCTGACTAGAAGCCTGATGGGTGTGATTCCTAAAGCTCCTTGGTCCACTTGGACTCCTAGAGTCATAATGCTTGGAGTTGGAGCTCCTAGGCAACTCACATCACATCTGTGTCTCTTCTTCGTGTGGTTTGATTCCTTCCTCCACTGTGATCCATTCCTGAGCTAAGCGGAAATCCAATCCTTAGCTAAGTGGCAACTGAATGCCGCCACCCAATTGCGTTAGCATTACCACTGTGATCAACCCAACATCTTGGTGCCGCTTCTCTACTGCAGCAAGAACACTGTACTACTTGTTAGTAGCGTCATGTGAAGTCACTACATTTAAGTTTTGCAACATCTACGATAAAAAACTTACACAACCTTTTCGTGGTAGAATTATGGTTTATATTGGCTATTGGTTAAGGGCATAAATGCATGAATAAGGGCAACCCAAGCAGTGAATATTTGGTACTTACATCTCCTCAAAGTTATACCCATGGGGGACAGGACAAATGTGAAGAAACATCTGTTAATAATCATCGAAGTGTATCTGTCCCCAACCAACAAGTTTTGCAATGAAAGCTAATTAAGGAATGGCAGTACCAAGCACAACGCTGCTCTGCCCAACTGCCTTCTTGATTCCAGCCTCATGCATCACCTCTCCCATTCTTGCGCCAGCATGCCAATTCCCATCTTCTAAATAGACATTCCTAATAGTCATATACCGACCAAATTGCTGGGGCCAAGAGACATTAGTTTCTGCCCAATCTCCACTGCAAGCTCCACATTTCCATGGAGCTTGCAAGCCCCAAGAAGAGCACCCACACAGAAGCATCAGCCGCGAAGGGCATCCTTTCTATAACCTGAATGGCTTCTCCAAAACGGCCAGCACGGCCTAAGAGGTCCACAACACATCCATAATGGACCATCAACGGTGCCACCTTGTATTCAGCAACCATTGCCTCGAACCAGTATAACCCAACCTCCACCAATCCTGCACGAGCACAAGCCGTGAGCAGAGCAAGAAAGGTTATCTGATTTGGCAAGAAGCCTTCACCCCTCATCACGTCGAACTTCACCAGTGCTTCAGTCTCCTTCCCATGATTAGCCAAAGCTGACAACAGCGCATTCCACGTGCAAACCTCCTTACAAACGACCTCAAAAGCACTACTACAGCAGCCAAGCCTCCCATGCTTCCCCGCCGCGTCCAGTTCCCCGGCGTGGCACAGCGCGTCGAGCAGGGCGTTGCAGGAGGCCAGGTCCGGGGTCCCCTCCATCTCGTCGAACACCTTGCGCGCATCGCGAGCCGGGTGGCCCGTTCGGCCGTAGGCGCTGACGAGCGAGCAGGCGACGAAGCGGTCGGCCGCGAGGCCGCGGCGGAGGCACTGCGCGTGGAGCACCCCCGCGGCGGCCGCGGAGCCCGAGGCGGAGGCGGACTTGAGGAGGGACGGGAAGGTGTGGCGGTTGGGTCGCCCGC